AATCTGATCTCTAAGAAACATACCAACATAATTTTAATGTATCCATTTTTCTTAGCGATTAACGTTTCATGTTTTAGTAATCACATTGTCACTTTGTAGACCTGTACTTTTCATAAATTCACTCCTAAGTGAATCTGAAAGATTTCCCCCATCTTTGCAGCTACTTCAGAATTGCTGATGTGTTCAAACTTGGCTCTTTGTCCAAATCGGTTCATCATGAAGTGACTCTAATAGCTAGTTAATAAAATGCTGTCACTCCACAAAGACCAGATTGTGTAGCTGATAATTTCAGATTTTTATGGAACAGGCTTCACTAACAATGAATGTTAATTTGCAAGTGTCAAACTCACTCATGCATATTTAGAGGAAGAGATGCTTAGAATAAAATGGAAATTCTTCCAATTGTTCTTATTCTTAGGCACAGCTTCAAAATTATCTTGCCAAGTGAGAAGAGGATTTTAAAAATTAACTGTGTCAAGCGAGCAGTCTTTTTGGTTTTGGTTTCATTTTTTCTCTGGAACATGTGAGAACTTTTGGGGTCCAGGCAGGCCAGGAGGGCAGTGGGTGGTCTTAGGAACTGAGCTTCCTGGAAACACTCAGATGGACATTGTGCAGATGGTTCACTGGGAACACCACTCAAAAGGGGGGGAGGGAGAGAGGCAGCGTGGGCACAGGGAGAAGCCCAAATGGGGTGCTCGTGCAGAGGCGCATACACTGTCAGGGGGCAGCTGCTGAGAGGCGCCTGGAGGTGAGGGGGTCAGAAGGCTGGGCGGGGGCAGAACCCCAGGCGATCCCCAGGCCACAGAACTGAGGACAGCTCCAGAGCCGGCTGCTCGGAGGCCAGGGAGGGCGTATGGTTTGTGGAGCTCAGAGAGGCTGCAGCGGGCAGTGAGTGGGCGCCGTGGGGGCTGGACAGAGCCTTCTGCAGAGAGAAGATGGGCAGTCATGTTGGGGTCGTGACTTGAGTAGACCTGAGTTCGGCAAGTCGTGGTCTTAGATCTGTGTTTTGTGTCCCTGTTGTCGGGCGGACAGTGGATGAGGAAGTGACCGAGGCAGAGAGGCCAGTTAGGTCCAGGGGGCAGCGGCAGTGAGACCTGAAGCAGGGTTAGTGTAAGACGAGGTCCCACCCAAGGACAAGCGTGGGCTGGGGGTCCAAGCTTCTAGGAAGTTTGCGTCCAACCTCATGGCACGATTCGTTTAAAACCAAACGTCATTCACAGGGTTGGGAGGCACAAGTGAGTTTGGCTGACCTTGTTAGTTTCTCTCAAGGACGTGGAGGAGGGAGGGCATGTTCGGCTGCTGGTAGACAGAGCTGGGCTTAATCAACAGTACGGCAGCCCGCCTGCCCGGCTCAGAGACCCCCGGCCACCCTGTCACACTGCTCCCCCTCCCTGGGGCCGCCCCTGCCCGTGGGACCGCGTGCAGAGTGACCTGCCCACGGGGCCTCTCCCTCGACCCCAGCGTGGCCGGGGAGAGCTCCCCTGGGCTCTCTGTTAGTCAAGATTCTGAGGACTAATGAATATCCCTGCGGTGTTTTGAGACGTTTGAACCCGGAGACGACCAGAAGGAAGTTTTGGGATGTGAGCTTGTAGGTTTCCATGTCCCTGCTTGGATTTCCAATTTA